GTTGAAGTAATCCATGTATGAATAAATCCCCTGGCTCACCAGTGCATAAATCTGCAGAATACAGGGTTGGGTGACCCACCCTGCTCTGGCTTGGGGAGCATTTGATTTTAATAGCACACTCATATACCATGGCCTTTCCTTCAACAGGACCTGTCCTGGGAACTCTTGACTTACAAACAAAACAGCTGCCCTTGGCATTGTGTTCAGGAAGTAGTGGCCAGCTGCCAGGAGCTCTTGATCCCCCGAGGAACAGCCTGGCCTCTGTGTTACAAAAGGGCATATGCACCACAAAGTGCTTTTCCATTTCATATAATATGTAGTGACACAGGGTCAAGGAAGGGAACCTTTTCTGGGGCCATTGTTAATGTCAAATGTGATTTGGCTGAGAGGTTTCCCCGAGGGCTGCTTCTTGCATGTCATTCTCAATACAGTGCTGTGACATTTCACATCTGGAAAGCCTGGTCCCGAGACAGGACCATCATCTGAATTCCTGAAGTTGGAAAAGGTAACAGGCAATTGGCCACCTCTTCTAAGAAACCTGGCTTCATGTGGAGCCTGGAAGATGGAATCAGCTTAGGCTGTGTCTGGTCCACAATCTGGAGGAGATGTAGGTCCAGGGAGCTCCACTATATTGTTCCAAGGCAGAATGGAAGGAAGTGTTCCCATGTTTAAATTTCAAGAGGCAAATGTCTGCCATCCAGTGTTTCTCCGGGTCCATCTCAAGTGCTGTCACATTGGCTCAGGTGCCTTTTGACACCAGAAGCATCAGCTCCTGTTCTCTTCTCTCTTCATTAGGAGTCACTCACTGCACCTCTTGGGAAGCCAGGCTGGCTGGGTCACTGTCCAACCACACTAACACAGAGGATGCTGGGTCACTGTCCAACCACACTAACACAGAGGATGCTGGGTCACTGTCCAGCTACACTAACACAGAGGATACTGGGTCACTGTCCAGCTACACTAACACAGAGGATACTGGGTCACTGTCCAGCTACACTAACACAGAGGAT